TTGTCCTTGAAGGCTTTTGGGACACTTCCTGTCTGTCCTTTAGAGTTCTCAACTCCATTCTTGCTATCAGGTAACACAGAACTGCTGCTGTCAGTGTATGGGTCCTTCCAACACTGAGCTACTTCTGATCTTACGTGAACTTGGAAGACAGAAAACTGCACTTGTTAAAATCATTTGTAAAGTAGGAATAAATCATCTTTGAAAGCGAACTTTATGAAGAAAAGGGATGGAGCTTTAGAAACATTATCCAGTCTTTTTCAAACAGCTCTTTAAAAAAATTTTTTTTTTAAATTCATAGCTGTGTTGCACATAGGTGACATTGTTAGGCTGGTTAAGATATAAATTTGAGAAATATTACTAAATTAGTAAATTATAACACTTTTGAAAACAACCATAGAAAAATGCTATTTTGCTAGATTTTCCCCCTCTTCCACAAAATCAGCATAATTTTTAAAAATTTATTTATTTTGGTACCAGGGATTGAACCCAGAGGCGCTAAACCATTAATCCACATCCTTAGCTCCTTTTTATATTTTATTTAGAGATAGGGTCTCACTAAGTTGCTTAGGGCCTCCCTAAATTACTGAGGCTGGCTTTGAATTCGTGATCCTCCTGCCTCAGCCTCCTGAGCCGCTGGGAATTATAGGCATGCACCACCATGCCAAGCTCAGCATAATTTTTATTAGTCATTAATTTTACAAAATTAAGTTTGAATTTGGGTACTGTTTATATACATCTGTACCCTCTGGAACCAATGTCCTGTGGTTGCCCGTGATTCTTATGTAAGTGGTTATATTCTCTTCCCCTCCCCTCCCTCGTCCAGCCACAAGCTACATTTAGCTGTTTCCTTATTTCAATGAACATTTTCACCATATTTCATATAATGTTAGTAACTCATCCAGTAGACCATTCTGTGCTTAGAAATAAATGTTCTAGCTCCAGAGTCGGGGGTGGGGGGGAAGGATGCCTCAGCCCACATATTCTTCCTGTTAAATGCAGTGACTTCACGCCCACCCCTGCCCACCAGAGTGGGCAGACATAGTGACTAGCTGGGCTGACAGGTGGTCCCACTGGCCAGCCAGCTGTTCCTCCGGCCCTGCTGGAAGTGGCTCACCAAATGTACAAAGACTATCTGTGTTATTCTTCAAAAAAAAAAAAAAAGTTTGGCACAGCATTGCTGGGTATTTTTGCAGCAATTCCTAAAGTATATACAACTGCCTGAAGTTATCTGTACCGTGGGTCAGATTCCTTGTTTCATGTGCAAAAAAAAAAAAAAAAAAACATTGGCAATATTTATACTTATCATAAGCTGTGTATCCGAGAACACTATACCAGATTCTGATATGACTTTGAAAAGTAGAAGGGAAGGTAAGTAAGATTCTGACATCACAGTCTCATCACTGAGGTAATTTAGGATGAAAGCCAAGCTAAGCGCTGATATGAGTTCTTCCTGACACACACTGTCTTTTTCTTCTAGAATGGGACATCAGCACTCCACGCAGCAGTGCTCAGCGGGAACATTAAAACAGTTGCCCTTCTCCTGGAAGCAGGGGCCGACCCAGCCCTGAGAAACAAGGTACCTATTTCTTTTAACCCCATTTGGTCCTTGTGCAAAGAGATAAGACTACATCCTCCCAAGCCAGAATAAGCATTTTTCTGGCTTCAATCCCTATTTTCATTCTTATGCACGGGTAGTGTATGCAAGGTTGCTATTAATAGTTTATTCCTGAGCAGTAATTTGGACCCAAGGAATTGTACTAAAAATCCTGTGTCATCAATGGTTTTTCTGTTAACAGTGGTGCAGGCTTCCAGCAGGGATGAGAAAGGCAGGCCAAGCAGTTATTATGGCGAGGAAGTATTATTGGTTTTTTTTGTTGTTGTTGTTTTGAGTGTTTTGTTTTGTTGGTACTGGGGATTGAACTCAGGGGCACTTAACCACTGAGTCACATCCCCAGCCCTTTTTTGTATTTTATTTAGAGACAGGGTCTCACTGAGTTACTTAGTTCCTCGCTAAGTTACTGAGGCTGGCGTTGAACTCATGATCCTCCTGCCTCAGCCTCTTGAGCAGCTGGGATTATAGGTGGGAACCATTACACACAGAAAGTATTATTGTTCTGTCATCAGAGATGTGCCCTAAAAATGCCAGAGTTCTGGTAGCTAACCACCATCCCCATAGGTTGGATGTCCATGTCTTAAGAATTGTTTGCACTGTTCGGTGACTATGTGGGGGAAGTGTTGCCTTTATATTGTTAAAGGCAGCCCATGTCACTGTTACAAAACCAACTCATATTTTTTATAGTCCTAAATCCTTTTTACAGTTAGGCCAGGGCTAGGGATGTAGTTCAGTGGTAGAGCACTTACCTAATATGCACAAGGCCCAAAATTCAATCCCTAGCACTACAAATGAAAACAAACAACAACAACAAAAATAGTTACCATTAGGCCAAAGTTGGAAGTTGGAGAGTATACAATAACAATGGCAGGAATGTCATTGTACTTCCTCCTATTCAGCATTTGCCTCAGCTGTCACATGCACAGATTCAGGGTGAGGAGACTAACCTAGCAAAGATCTAAACTACCCATTTTTTTAAAGATCTTTTTTTTATTTGTTTTACTTAGTTACACATGACAGTACAGTGATCTTGACATATCATACATTTGAATCAGATGAGATATAATTTCTCTGAGTATACAGGTTGCAGAATCACACTGGTCATGCAGTCACGTATGTATACACAGTAATAATAATGTCTGTTTCATTCTACTATTTTTGAAAGAAGATGCACTAATCAATAAGGAAAGGTATGAAAAGAAACTTTTACTTTACTCCATACTTACACACTCTTTGAATTTTATAAATATCTATTACTGTTTAAAATTATTTTAATAATAAAAACAAAACATGGGGTTGGAGATGTAGTTCAATGGTAGAGCACTTGCCTGGCATGTATGAAATCCTGGGTTTGATCTTCAGGATTGCAAAAAAAGTGTGTGTGTGTGTGTGTGTGTGTGTGTGTGTGTGTGTGTGTATAATATCATGACACTTTGAAAAGAAGCCATTAAGAAGTGCCTATTAAACAATATGCCAGGGGCTAGGGATGTGGCTCAAGCGGTAGTGCGCTTGCCTGGCATGCGCAGGGTGCTGGGTTCGATCCTCAGCGCCACATAAAAAAAATAAAAAATAAATAAAGATGTTGTGTCCACTGATAACTAAAAAATAAATATTAAAAATTCTCTCTCTCTCTCTCTCTCTCTCTCTCTTTAAAAGAAAAAAAAACAATATGCCAAAGTCAAGGGTCATTTTTCTTTTGTTTTACTTAGACTATAGAAGTATTTTTCTTTTCCTATTCTCAACCTTGAGTTGCTTGACGTTAGCGTTTCTGCTTATCTCTTCCTGGGATACTCAGGTCTGTTCTCCAGCCTGCCTGGTGGCCAGTTGAGATCACAGTTGCCTTTCTTTTAGATCTTACCTTTAGACCTTATGCATGGACTTTCAGAAGAGGTCAGTCTTTGTTGGTGAACTATCCAGGACTGAATTAAGCAAGGGGGACATATTCAATCCCTAACCCTTAATATAGGACTTGAAACATGCAATTCCTCCCAGCATAATGCAATAATCAATCATAGTGGTTTTGGGGTAATATCCAGTGGGAAAAGTGTTGAACTTTGACCTATCCTAAAACTGCTTCAGTGTATATGTCAGTGCTCATGTTGGAGCCTCATACTACTGAAGCCTTTAGAGTTCTGGGAAGCCCTCACTTATCTACCAGCTCCTCTAGAGAAGCCATCATCTTTAATGGCAGCTCCAGAAGCAAGGGGGAACCTCCCAGGACTCCTGAGATAGTATTCTTAGCTTTCATTCATTCATTCAACAACTACTTGTTGAACACCTAGTAGATACCATGTTCCACCATGTGACCGGCGCACTGGTTTCATTAAAGAGGTTCTTGGCATAAAAGTTAGCTAGTGAGATCAAAATAAACACACAGACTCAATTACCTTTTTCTATGACCAGGTCCAAGACGGCTCTCACCTCTCTGGCTCATACCTCGAACCACCCAGTAGGGCAGCAAGGATTACTCAAGGCTAGCAGGAGAGAGAGGCAGAGCCCGCCAGGAAGTGGCCTTTTATTGGGGAACAAGAAATTCAGGGGAAAATTCCATCCAGTGAAGGTCTAGGCGGGCAGCACTCCAAGGTCAGGGTCAGTGATTGGCCTCAGGGTCAGTGGTCAGTCACACCCCCACACGGACAGGCTCTTGCACCAGGAGAGGGTGGGGAAAGCTCCGACACAGTTTAGCCAGAGCGCCTCACACCCAATCCGGGAGTTGCCCAATCACATGTGAGAATGGCTTCCCACAACCATGCACTGTGCTTGTGCTGCAGATACAATGATGAATAAGATTCACATCATCTCTGCTTTCATGGAGCTCAGAGTTTAGTGCAGAATTAAAACAACTAAACAAGCAATTGCAATATAAATGATACGAGCTATAAGCAGGGAAGTAGAGAATGCTATCAAAGGCTTCCAAGCTTCCAAGTTGAAGTAACTTCTGAACTGTATGGAAGCACTCTTTTGTTCCAGGGGTCCTACTACTTCTGTTCTGGGGCTTCAAGGCCCAGATGCCCAGAGAGAGGACTAACCAGTGGCCCTAATAGCCACTCCTTGCACTATAGCCACCCCCGCCCTAGGTACAGGGGTCTTGTGTTTCCAATATCCCTAAATGAGCACTGAGAACACATTTTCTTCCAGAAACAATGGGAAAGTAAAGCAGTTTGATGCGATAGTGTCAAATATGAATATGGGCCTCAGGTTCCTGCTCCATAATGAATAAGATGGCCATGAAGGGCTAACCTGGGTACCAGCCATCATGAAAATCCATATAACCTCGGCAACCTGGGAATTAAGTGGGGACCATCCAGGAGAGAGGAGGATGGACAACCAGGTTTTTAGAACTACCTAAATGACACATAAAACCATATCACCCAAAGTCCTTTATTTTCATATTGCTGCTGAGACACATTCTTCAAGCAAAATTTAATAATAAAGCTCATTTTTCATGGAAAAGGATGTGAACATGCAGGCAGATGATCACACAAGGCACTGAGAAGTGAGCAAACTTATAGACATACAGCTCCATAGCTCCTTCTTCCTCCTGACTGCAGTGGCTCATCTGGCCACCTCTGGCGTGCTCGCCGCTGATCAATAACTGATATTATCAGTTCAGTTATTCCTGAGTGTTTACTCTGGAGACTGAGTGACGCTTAGGTCTGTTTACCAGGAGCATTTCCCTGCAGGCCCAGGTGTTAAGTTGTGCAATGTCTGCTCTTGCAGGAACTAAGCACATAGTAGACTTTGACCTCATGAAAGGGCCTCTGGCAGAGCATAGCAGTTTCCTTTCTGATTCAGTCCAGGGGCAACATCAAAGGTCCCATGTGGTGGGCACGAGCGCAGCTACAGAACATGCCACACAGCAGACCGCTGTGGCAAAGTCATACTTCCCCACAAGTGAGGTCCCAGCCAGCAGGTAGGGAAGCAGGGGTCAGGGAACAAGATCCAGCCTAGATGATGAGGACAGCAGGCGCTTCACCTAGGATCAAGTTCCAAAAAGCAGTGGATGGTCCACGAGAAAAAATACATGAAGCAGATAACGTCTATATGCAAGCCCTCCCTCCCACCATTCTGTGTACCTTTTTACTCTTCTATGATCTGGCCCCAAAACATGTTTTTGATTCCTTTATAACAACTGTTTTCAAAGTGTGGTCTGTGGACACAGGAAGGTCTTCAAAACCTTTTCAGGGGATCTAAAAGGTCAGCACAGTATTCTTGATAATACAAAGATGAACTGCCTTTTTCACCATATGGACATTTGTTCCAATGGTGCAAAAGCAACAGGAGGCAAGCACATTGGCGACGTGGTACACTTCAAAGCAGGGGCACTAAATGATACTGGCAAAACAGTTTGCAATCCTTTGTAAGTTATTTTACAAATTTTGTCAATTACTTTTCAAAAATATTGATCTTTAAAATGTCTTTGATGAAGCAGTGAAAAAAATGTTAATTGTATTAAACCTTAACTTTTGCTGCACATCTTTTAATATTCTGTGTGATAAAATGGATAATGTATTTTTGCAGCCCACTGGAGTACAATGATTGTTTTGAAAGAAAGTCCCTCTGTAGTTGTTTGCATTGCAGAGTGAACCAGCCACTTTTTTTCATAGAATGCCATTTTTACCTGAAAAAACAACTTCTATGCATCACCACAAGTTCAACAGCCTGAGAGTCCAAAAGGCTTTTCTGAAAAATCAGTCGTAATATTAATGAATGTGATTTTTTGCTATTGCACAACGAAATGTGTCAAGATTGGGAAGATCTACGTAACTCTAAGAACTGTTTCCAAATGAGCAATGCATGATGTCACAAATAATGCATGGGTACAAGATTCACCTATCAATAAATGGACCTGTGGATTTTTTTTTTTTTTTTGTACCAGAGACTGAACCTGGGGCACTCAACCACTGACTGAGCCACATCCCAAACCCTTTTTATATTTTATTTTCAAACAGAATCTTGGGCTGGGGTTGCGGATCAGTGGTAGAGTACTCGCCTAGCACATGTGAGGCCCTAGGTTAAATTCTCAGCACCATATAAAAATAAATAAATAAAATAAATGTATTGTGTCCAGCTACAATTAAAAAATAAATATTAAAAAAA